CAGATCAGCGAATAACTTAAACAGAAAAGTCCGAAACGCGTATAATAAAGTTTCACGCAATTGAAGAAATAGTATGTTTCGCACATTGTTTTCGCACCGAACAGTGAACTCAATTTGTGATGTAAATGGCCGGGGATGTTGAAAGAAAGAGGAGTATTTTTCAATCTTTTAATTCCACTCATACTTATACTTGCTAGAGTGCAAATAAAAGGGCGGGCTTGTGTGATCAACTTCGGATAACTCGAAGTATTTATACGTAGCTAGGTCCCTTCAACTTCGACACAACAGTGTATTAATTAAGGAGAGTGCCTTGTAACATTTGCATCTGTATTTGTCTGATATTGTTTGCCACTTTTGACTCAACTGCACTTGCAAATCCCTGCCCACCGCACTTGGGTGTTGCACAGGTCGAATGGGCGATCTTTTTGCTCCAAAGGGTTATAACTCTCCTTTTGAAATGATAGAAGCGACGGTCCAAACTGTCGCTTCCGGTCTGGTTCCCGGATCAATGCGCGCTGCGACCACTACTGACATGTAGAGACGGAGCCAAGCTAAAGAGTTATCCTGTTGCACCTTCGTTCAAAAACGGTCGTTTACAACTGAATATTTTTAACTAGCACATATTTTGTAGTGATTATTAGTTTATAATATTTTTTAAGTCTTCAACTACAAGACGAACTGTCACTATGGTTTCTGCTGTAGTGTCCCATAAGGAGTCCTGCACGAACAGCTGCCCGACACAGGTCATTGTCGTCTCTGTCCACAATGACGCCCATGATATGACGAGGGTGGCCTTCACAGTGAGTGAGTTGGGTTTAACGCCGCTTTTAACAGTATTATATCTCGGCGTGTCAGCTTAATGTAGGGGGAAAGCCCGAAGTGATGAAGGTCTCAGACGTTTACCACTTCGGTGAAACCCACGAGCACGGGTATGGTGCTGACAAACGTAAAAACATTATCGGGGCGAACCGGGATTCAAACCCACAATCATAGGTTTCTGGCGTGTCCAAGGGACGCAAATCTGCACAACGAACCGCGAACCACCCGTGCCCCCTGGTCGCCTTCACAAGCGGGATGGGAATGTTACATAAATTACCACCGGGTTTGCCATGAAGTTCAACTGATTCCAATAAATTGTGTAAACTTTATACTTATATGAGTTACTTTGGTCATGGTAAGATCAACATCGATCGAAATTAAAATGAGGAGATTAAATTAAGGAGTCTACTTCATTCCAGTCAATCTGTCCGAATCCAATCTCGTTTTTCAGGCAATATGTAGATTATCAGGCTTCATCACCTGTGTGATATTTGTTATTCTTACTTTGCCTGGCTTCACCCAATTATATGTGTGCTACTTGTTATACAATACCTGTTGTTGTTAATGTTTCTGTGACAAATATTGTTTTGGAAATAAACGTCGTGGCAACCTAAAACTTCTCTGCAAATTATAACATAATTAGAAAGTCTAAACCTCGAATATGTTCCACTATCAATATTATTTCACTATACGTGCAGTCCTCAATGTGTATCATCACATCACCCCTTGGACAGATGACTAGTGCATTTGTGGAAGAAAATATTGATGTACCCCGCATCAGCAATTTTGAATCTTTTTCCGGCGATGGTCACGGCTGAGGAAGGTCCTCGATCGTATATATTTGATCATCATTTTCGAGGATCTTTCTCTGATGCGTTTACTAATGTTTGTTTTGTTGTTTGTTTGTTGTTTAACGCTGCACTCAACAACGACGGCGGTCTGTAAATAATCGAGTCTGGACCAGACAATCCGGTGATTGACATCATGAGCACCGATCCACGCAACAAGTCAGCGAGCCTGACCACCTGATCCCGTTGGTCGCCTCTTACGACAAGCATGGGGTTGGTGAAGACCTATTCTACCTTAGGATCTTCACGGGTCCGTTTACTATAATGACCAAAGCTGGCATGGGTGACTAAATGAGTGAGTAAGTGACTTTGGTTTAACGCCACTTTTAACAGTATTCCAGCTTAATTCGGGGGAAAAGCTCGAAGTGATGCTGGTCTCAGACGTATACCACTTTGGTTAAACCCAGGTTTCTGGCGTGCCCAAGGGACACAACTCTGCACAGCGAATTGTCTGGGGTGACTAAGTCTTCAAGATGAGCGTGAAGAGTTGCGGCTCTTAACAATAAACGGATCCAGTCGTCGTGGTTTTTTATTCAAAGTTTTGGAATGTCTGCGTCATTGGTTTTTCACCAAAGAGGTAAGAGTCTACCACAACTAGTCTGGTGCTTTCGCCCACATTACGCACACACGGTATTGCTATAAGTAGAAGAGATTTACCCTAAGCTTAACTCACTCACTACACTAATAAGTATTTTGGAACTATCAAGAAACCAACAAAATAGTTTTATAAATATTATGTTTATTTAATCCATAAAACAGAATTTCTGTATCAATCAATTCATGTTTGATGACGAATATTGTGACGGAAGAACATCCTGTTCAAAGCATCATGTGTGAGGCAAAAATACATAGAGGATATTTCATGTGACCAGTGAAATAGCATGTTTCTCATGAAACGTGAAATATCCTATTTATTCTACACTTTTTGTGGAGTTTTCTACTGGAAAATTAAATTATTTCATTACAAATGTAAAGCCTTGAAACTCAAATTCTCCCTACCTGACACACAGGGACGGTTCACCAACCCTCATTTGTGACTTAAAAAGTAGTTTCGAACGAAAGTATAAAAAAAATTATATTAGGATCATGAAAATTCTTTGTCATACATTTCAATATGATTATATACAAAATCAAGTTTACAAAAATATTCTTGAATACTAGGAGACCGCTGAGAGAAGCGAAAGAATACAAGTAACAAAAATGGCGCTTTGCGAAACGAAGAGTCTCGATTGACGAGTTAAATGAGAGAGTTACTGTTTATAACGATACATTTTCTAAAGAAGAATAAATGGCTAGAAGTAATATTAACTCACTAAATTACCATCCGTCATTATTTTGCCTTGTCAATATGGAACTAACGTAAAAATAACGGCAAATCACTGACGACAAAGGGAGACAATTAAAGGGGAAGTAACTCTTGTATGACAATAGTTCCGTCAAAGTGTTCTGTTCACTGCAGTGAAATATCAAATGTTATGCTCACTGAAATGAAAATATCACTTTTCTTAACCTCAGAAAACTCAGTCTGAAGTATAAATACACTGATGCATCTCTATACTCAGTGATATTATTGATTGTTGTTTACTCAGCAATTTTCCAGCTATATGACGGCGGTCTGTAAAAACGAGTCCGGACCAGCCAATCCAGTGACTGACAGCCTGAACATCGGTCTAAGCAATTGGGATACGATGACATGCATCAATCTTGTCAGACAGGCTGACCACCTGATCCCGTTAGTCGCCTCTTACGACAAGCATTGGTTGCTGAAGATCAATTCTAACCCGGAGACCGCCTCCGTGGTCTTGTGGTAGAGCGTCCGCCCGGAGAGCGGAAGGTCCAGGGTTCGATCCCGGGCCGCGTCATACAAAAAGACGTTAAAAGATTGTACTTGTTGTTACCCTGTCTGGCGCTCGGCATTAAGGGGCTAAAACAAGGACTGGTCGGCTCGGAGTCAGTATACTGTATCTGAGTGGGGTATTCATGTTAAACTGCGGCATGGTATCTCAGTGAGCTAGCACTATAAATCGGCATCAGTCCGGACTAGTACAAGCAGCCACACACACACATACACGTGCATGCACGTCGCTATATAAGTGCAATAATCTTGGACGCGACGTTAAACCCTATTCCACCTCACCTCACCTCTAACCCGGAGAAACCTGAGAATGATGTATTTATCTGCACACCTGTTTATAAATCGATATTGATCCACATTTTAGCCATACGATATCAATTCACTTATAAGTCTGATCACGTATATTAGCATTGTTAATATATATAATTGACATCAAAACAAAACAGAAAACAAAACGTTTTGGTATGATTTTGTTGGTAAGGTAACGCAGTTTTACACGAACTTGTGTTCGGGATACAAATAATAAGGTGTTTCTTGTTGTCTCCGATGCCGTAATCAACAATATTCCAACAATATCACGGCGGCCTGTAAATGATCGAGTCTGGACAAGTAAAGCCAATGGTCGATATTATGGGCAACATTAAACGCCGTCGGTGCACGATGACACGCAGTCAACCAGGTCACTTAGTCTTACCTGTATCCGGTTTAGCCACCTCATACTGAAATCTACCTGAAAGCTATAAAGTGATTGGGATTGCAACGGGGGGTACGAAGTATCATTTTAGCCCCGTCCGCAACTCCACAATTAGCTGTCCACAGCTGTACGTTACATGCCGTTAGGCAACTTGGATAACTGGCCATATTTGCACTGCTAAACAAGGCTACCACCTCCATGGCTTGGTGAATAGAGCGTCAGTCCGGAGAGCGCAAGCTCAGTGGTTTGATCCCCAGCCTCGTCAGACCTAAATGCGCTAAATGCTGCTGCTTGTTGTTATCCTGCCTGGCGCTCGTCATTAAGGGGATAGTATGGCTGTGTTGGGTTTGGGTGACTAGTACAAGTACACGCATGCGCGCACGTCGCTATATAAATGCAGTAATCTTAAACCCCACTTGACCTCTCCTCACCTGTTAAACATAGGGTCCGTCCAAAACCAGAATCTAATAGAATTTGGGCTCGTTCACATGAGCAATACAAAAAGGAAGTTGTTCGGTTTATACAGGTGTCGGTATATTCAGTGGGTGATATTAGAAACTTTGAAACATATAATAATAGAAGTCCATTTGTATCACGTTTTTTCCATGAGGAATATCATGCTCAAAGCGCATTATTACCCCGGTCAAAGGATCATTGTGCACTCGACAATCATTTTCAGCTCCCAAGGGACTAAACAGCCCAAGCTGCCTGTGACGCACTAGAATAGCAACCACATTGCCATCTCATCATACCGGGTACCCATTCACTGCTTCACATATCCCGACTAAATATTATTTGCGTTCGTGCTAGTGGTGGTGGTGGAGGTCCTGTCCTGTCTCTGAGCCTTCTTGTGCACACTGTACAGCTTGTCCATCAACAGTTGGAGGATCCTCGACTTACAGACGAAGCACACGAAGATGTAGAAACCCTGAAGGCCGTTAAGGACGATCTGGAAATACCACAGAACGTTGACGTGGGCGAAGGCAGCAACGAAACAGAAGATCCAGGAGAAACCCATGATGAAAGACAGACGGACGTATATGCCCAGACGCGTCTTCTCGTTCTTACAACTTTTGGAGTGCGAAGAGATTTCGGAGGCCGTCCTCTCGATGCTGATCAGGGTCAAAATGAAACAGGTTACATTGATAGCTAGGGTCAGAGCCATGGGAAGGCCGAACACATAGAGAGAAGCCTTGGGATTGGCTATCCAGCACGGGGGATCAGATCCATATCCAATGCTTATTCCCCACACATGGAAGTGATCGATCACAACACACGTGACAACCAGAATGATGGGGATCCCCCAACCAACGCATGCGTACAGACAAAACAGTTTGTTGTGAGTCTGAATTCCAGAAACAGGTGACATGCTTCTCAACGACCGAGCTAGATCTATAGACAACAAGCTCATCCATAGGAACGAAGACAGCCACAGCACGTGGGCAAGGGAGGCAACTGCTACACACATCTGCCCAGTCGGTACTTTGGTTATGAGTTGGAGTCCCTGGGCAAGAAGGAGAGTTGCTGACAGAGACATTACAACTTTACCGGGAACATTTCTGAGTTGAGGGATCAAGCTGTAAACCAACAGTACCCCCACAAGAGAGGCAACGGACACTGATGACGTCACAATGGTCAGAACAACTTGGACGTTGTCGTAGTCAAAGAAAACGACCTGGTCAGTGTGACTCCTTGAGAAGTGGGAGCAAATGACAGCGCCATGTCTCGTGAGACTGAAGTTCCCCGCTGGCAGCACAACTCCACTGGGAATATAACGCAGAGAGCCATTGAGGAGGCTGAACTCAGATTGATGAATGGACAACGTCCCGTTAGGACAGTGCAGGGACTGGTTGCCAAAGTCAGGAACACAGACAATGATGTCCGTCACATTGGGTACTGCTCCACTGTCCTCATAACGCATCTCAAACCCTATGTTATCTAACCTGAAGTAAGTTCGAGTTAACCTGGCGTAGAAAGAACCCTGGACTGTGATCAGCTCAACATCTTGGAACATTTTTGAAACGTGTTCGACAGGACAAATCTCTGTCGAGTTGCTAACATATTCATAATATTCAGAAATAGTGTGTGTCACAGATGAATTGGTTTTTTTAAAATCATTCAAGTAGAAATCAAACACTGTGACGTTATGGTGGTTTAGTTTTAGGGAAATCTCTCTGAAAAGATATCCAGTTGAATTAATGAGGGTACTTACTGGAGCATTAGATTTGACAGTGGCTTGATAAATGTATGTAGCGAGTCTGTTCACACTGATATCATTTGTGACAACATCTGAATGTACTCTAGATCTCATCAAATATGTATAACTTATGCTAACGTTACGACCAGTTGGGTTTCTGTCACTTAGAAACTGTTTCAAATAACTCTTCAGTTTCTTCCTCACAAACGTCTTCATTAACGTCTTCTTCCCTTGTACACTGAGGATGACAGTAAAGCGGTGAGCTCCTTTAGGGTAGAGTTGTCCAGTTCCGTTCACCACCTGCTTGTCCTTGAGGAGGCAGGTCCCGTTGACGGGCCGCATGTCCATCCCGTCACACAGGAGGATCACACACTTGTGGGAGTAGATGTTGAACACCTCATCTTCCCGAAGACATAGCCTGGTCTCAGACCTCAACACTCGGCCACTGATGTCCAAACTCATCTCATTCTCCCCAAAGTTAAACAGCATGCTGAAACTGTAGACGAAGCCTTTATCGGGATATGGTGTTGCCCCAGGAAAAGGAGTGAATCCAATACTCACAAAACCCGGAATGATCTCTCCCCACCTCCAGATGCACCTGAGGGGGACATAGTGTACAGTTGGGCCTCTGACTGCATGGGCACAGTGGGGGTTTCTGTAAATCCCATCCTGTGGGTCTTTCACGGGGTATAAGTACAACGAGCACAGGAGTTTGGAAAACTTGTTGAGAAACACGTAGTTAGCTGTTTGTGACGGTTTCATCAGGGATGGTAGGGATGGGTACTCCGTGGAAGGTTCAAGATGGCCTGACATACACGATCTTGGCTTGTCTTCAGAATTCAGCTGTAGGACTAGAGAACACTCACCTTGATTTATGTATTCCCGGACTTTTTCAAAAGACAACGTTGATATGTTGACATTTTGACATGTTGCTCTTGTATTCCAGAAGCGGACATGTCGTCTCTGTAAACCATGGCATTCAGCACAGTGGTAGTTTGAAAACGTTATGGTTGGATTTTCTATCAGTGTGACAGGTATTTGTCTGATTAAAGAGCCATACATTGTACAGCTGATGTTTCCTTTAGCGGTTGTATGTGGGCACTGTGAGACAAGCCAATATTGAGATTCCTTGCTGCCTGTTTTGACAGAGAGGCACTCCTTCATTATCAACATCTGCTTTTGGCGCAGTACAGCTGCCTCACTCCCAAGATGTTCCACCAGTGTGTTGACGTTAAGGGTGTTGTTAACCATTATATCGGATATGTTGAAACCAAGGCAAGTCTCAAAGTAATCAAAGCAGCAGTCACCGTAGAGGAGGCAGCTGCTGTCACAGGAACATGGGGACTTGGCGTATGTGTTGTGGGTGTAGTTTGGATTCATTCTGGCCGGAGTAGAGCCACACTGGTCTGAGTTGTAGCATGACTCGTACTCGCACTGGGGAACGTTGGCAAAGCCTGCCATTGTGATTCTGGCTTTTCCAGTGACTTCCCATATGTCAGCGCTCGCTGGAAAAGCAACATAACGTTCAATCAAACCATGGAAACAACGTCCACATGTGCGAAGACACACATTTTAATAAATCTTTGGGGTAGAAAACTATTTAGACAAGCACTGGGGACATATACTCAAGCAAGAGTACTAGGGGTGTATTCTGCCCTGGATTTCCCTAGGTTAGGAAGGTTAAAGCTTATACGACAGTCATGGGGTATCGAGCCCAAAACAGCCAACTGTTTTACCACTGTGACAAATCGACACATTCAAGCCAGAACCCAATGGTGTTCAGACTGTAGAAACTCGAATGTAAACACTACATGAGACCATTTCTCAAATAGACGATGGTCTCGTGTAATGTTTTCACATGAGTCTAGATGCACTCCGGACTTTCTGAAAAGGGTGGATGCGTCCTAACGAACGCCCTGTGGCAACAGGACCGATTTAGAGATGGGTCTGTAATGATATTGAGCTGGATCACAATGACTGCCAGAACGCCACTGTATATCGTCCATGAAAGGGTCACTGGACAATACTACCGTGACAATGTAATGTCTCCAATAGTGGTGCCGTTTGCGAGCCATGCTGGTTCACGTTTTGTCTTTTTCGATCGTGCACTTATCGTAACTGATTATCCCAGTCAGCGAAACATGCAAAGGCTGCCATGAGTCTTGTACTTTTCCCCCTAGAGTACATCTGGGGCATGACGATAGACGTGTACGCCGACGTCAAAGGCCACGGGCCACGTTAGCAAAACTCCCTCAAACTGTCATTGGGAGATTGATATTCAGACCTTGCCATCCCCCATCAACGAATGTTTCACCAATCGTTGGGGCATGAACAAGTCATCTCAAACGTTCCTTTTGGACTCTACACCCCTGTCGTCTTTCTTGGTTGTTTGCACCATTACAATTCACAGCTACTGTGTTAAGTTGATTATCATGTTGATTAACTTAATCCTTCCTTTTTCTTGTCCATCCATTACCATTGCTCGAATTGTATTTCTGTAATTGTCTGTTATTTTGATTATCCCATACTGTGAAGAGTAATCTTATCTTAAATTGTAAACTTTCCGAAAATCGAACAGATGTAGAACATATTGTTATATTTTTGAACTGACTTCTCGTCACATTTGGCTAACCCGTGGCAGAGGTACTCTTTTGACCAAAAGTATGCACGATAAGAAACTTTTACTGCAATCACGAGGTCCATGTGCTGTCCCGGAATTCCCAGTGTGTAATAAGCTCTAACCACAAGCGGTGGCACGGATGGCCCAGACGTCTAAGACACCACAATTAGCTTGCAGAGTTTCGTTCCTTGTGCACGCCAGCAACCTATGATTGTTGGTTCAAATCCCTGTTTGCCGCGATCATGTTTCTAGATTTATTAGGACCATACCCGTGCTCATGGTTTCACCAAAGGGGTAAACGTCTGAGACATGCGTCACTTCGGGTTTTTCTCTGGAATGATGTAAATGCGGAGGAGTTAAACTCACTCACTTACCACAAGCACGGGGTACTTGGAACCAACTCTAGAAGATTATCCCCAAGAATCCCACGGGTAAAAAGCTCTTATGATAAGCATGGTGTAGTAGGTGCCTACTCTACCTTTGAATCCGCTTGGGAAGACAATCACTGGGTACTGAGAGACATATTTCACCCCAGAAACTGGGGTTAGTTTTGCTCTGGAATTATATCAGGGTAAATACATTGTCAGAGTGTGTGTAAGATTTTCAAAATGTCCTAATATCTGACATTGAATGATGGGTAAAATGATAAAAGTGGAATTATTAGTATGGAGAATACTATCTTAAATAGTTGATGTTCTTTTGTTTCAGCATCTAATTCTTAATTTGTTTCGTTATTATGTACATCTCGTTTAACGCCGCACTATTCGCAATATTCCAAGCCGGGGTTTGTAAATAATCGAGTCCAGACCAGACGATCCAGTAATTAACATCATTAGCGTCGATCTGCGCAATTGGGATACGATGATATGCAACAACCAAGTCTGCGAGTCTGCCCACCCGATCCTGTTAGTCACCTCTTACGGCAGTGAGTTTGAGCATCTTAAGCATTATACAAATGTATATTGTTATAAAAGTTGACTTACCTGGTTTACCGTGATATCCAAGATATGCAATGATGAGGTGAAACAGAACAGTCCTCATGGCTGCGTGTCTATCTGTGTTGTGTGGATGGCTACTGGTGTAATGTCATGAAGAATATTAGCAAGGCTGGGAAAGCGTCAGTTTAGATAAACCATGAGTGTGTTCAATACAACTGATTCGTTTATCAACCAAACGGAAGACAATGAGTTTCACAAATCGCTCCTAATGAGAATACACCATCCTGATTCAAGTCAACATGAACCTCCATCATTGTGTTGACACAAACAGATCCTGTATTACACGGTGGTCCCTTTGTCAATATGATAAGGATAAAACAGGAATTATTGTTAATGGTTTTCTAAAGTAATGACAGGTGCCATGTGTCATGCAAAATAACAGCCGCGAGCGTTCCTGGCCACAAAATGCCATAGTAACGTGTTTATCGTTCTTGTTGGTGTAACTCCACAGGACAAAAAAGACACAATTCTTTTTTGCTGAATGATGTGTCGAAGGATAACAATATATGTTCGTCCACCAATTTAAAAAAATATGATGCGATGGATCCCAGGTATATGTTTGCATTAAGTGTTCACATACGTCTTGCGAATGGACCTTGAATGTTTGGTCTTGACGTACCTGGTGTATTTCATCATGTTTAGAAAGAATGGAATATGAAGCCATTTGTTTCGCTTGTAGTTACATTGGGACTAACATTGATACGAGGCGGTGTGTTTGGTGGGTGGGAGGGGACGTTAAGATGTTTTCTAAGATTAGTGGCTAAGATTATGGTGTGGGTTGGATCAGTTGCAGGTTAGTGGTTTAAAAAATTTAAAGCGTTTCCTCGCCACATTGACGACGGATTCGTTTTGGGATTAAGTAATGTTTGCACTTAGCGCTGTTGAGTATGTAAGACCACCTCATTCAAAGGATATTTAAAAATTTAAATTTGCAGAATATTTGTTCACTTTTTATCTCTGGCTAAACTTGCAACAATCGCCATTAAATAAGGCAAAGGTGTAAATCCTCCTGGGGAACCATGCAGGTAGCAGACGTACCGTAAGTCCCCTTGGTCCCTGGTATGGTGGGTGACCTTACCTTTGTTGCTGGCGATCTATAGCCCCATTGTTATATCGTGTCGTTGCCTAATAATAAGATAGTTTTAATGTTCTACAACTAGTTTTAAGTTACTCTGTGATACATTGGTAGTTATTATACT